AGAGGGTTAACCAAACAGCCAGGCTACCGAGAGCAGTTAACCAAACAACCAGGCTACCGAGAGCAGTCACGACGAACATGAGGAGCATCCACTGTCCCCAACAACTAAAGCATGTAGGGGGGGGGGGGGGGGGGGGGGGGGACAGTGCCTACCCAACAATCGTTTCTTGCACTACCAACAAGAACAAGCCAATTGACGGGTCTATTCCCCTCACGATGAATGAAGCTCCAAATAACTGAAATATGAGAGGAAATGAGTTTAATTCTCTTAATACAATAGAAAATATTCCACGGTGCATCAACCCAACTAGCAAGAATATCAACCAAAATACGAGAGTCATTCTCAATGATAATAAACTGTCAATTAAGAGATAAAGAACTAGCAAGAATATCAACCAAAATACGAGAGTCACTCTCAATGATAATAAACTGTCAATTAAGAGATAAAGCAATCATGACAACCATCAACATGGCCCTAGCCTCCGCTTCAAGAGGAGTATCAGGGAAACAGAAAGAAGAAAAGAAGAGAATACAGTCCCCGACATTATTCCTAGCAATGCCACCACAACCAACATTGAAAGTTTTCTAGCTCCCATCGGTGTTAATCTTCACCTACCCTGTGGGAGGAGGCCACCATCTCACCAAAACTGGGAGTTCTGGTATCCTCCCCCCAACCATAACTGCTGGTATTAAACGATTGATATTGTTAGAAAATTTATCATAATTATTATAGATAAATGACAATGAATAAAATTATTATGTTATGCCAGTATCAAACCAAGAAATTAGGATTTAATTAGAATATTGAATAAGAGTTCACAAATATAAAAGTATAAGTAAATTAAATAAGATTTATATGTTTGTGTGAATTGAAACCATATATAAATAATAAGGAGAAAATACTAATAATATATATAGGTTAAATAAGATAAATAGTTGTAACCTTAATATAGATATGAAGGCAACAATAGAAATAAATTAAGTATAAAAATAAAAAAAATTTAAATTTAATATTTAGTTATATATTTTTAAAGGTTTAAGTTTAAAATTTTAATTAAATTATAACTTAAACTTTGGGACTACAATCATTAATTAAAATAAAGTCATTAATTAAAAATAACAATCAATTAAGTATAATTAAATAATATGATTAAAATTTATTAATATGAATGTTTTTATGCTATTATAGGCATCAAATTATAGAAAATAAAGTTTATGAAGTAAAAAAGGCAAGAGCTCGCCGTCAAGGTTGAGACAAATACTCCTATTTGTGAATTATAGTAATAGTTTTGATTTTCTTCTAATATAAATGCATTGGATATTTGTATAGATAGCCTTATATTGTAAATTTAATTATTATTTAATTATACTATTAGATGTGTTGGTTCTATCAAAATGTATATGAAATATCTTTGAGTATGTCTATACTTATTTATTTCATATATTGATTATTATAAAAATATTGAATAATATGAAAATACGAATGAAATGAATTATATATAAACCATGTTTGTGCATGTTTATTGATAGAATGTACTCACTAATAGTACTAGCCGGGACACTAAAATTCTCATGCATATAAATTACAAAAAAAGTATTAATATTGTATCTTAAATAATACATTTTAGATGATATTTTTTAAATAGTAAAAACAGTAATAATATATAAAATGATATAGATAAAAAACTGTAATATAATACAATATAATGATTTGAAATTTCTTAAGTGGTTATACTTTAATAAATAAAAAATCAAATGGTGTTATATTGATTTATTAAATGTTAACTAACTTGCATTTTGCTTTTTCAATTTATGTTAATGAAATTTTATAAATTTAAAAATTTGCTCAATTGTTAATAAATTATGAATATTTAAGTTATTATTTTGCAAGATAAAGTGTAGTAATAAAAATGAGCGAGAGAAGAAAAACTATTTAAAAAGGCCTAAATAAAGTAGAAGATTTAATTACATTCACATTTCTTTACTTTTAAACTAATTCAAATTTTATTAGTTAACGACTCCTAATTCATAGAATAATTCTTATTTGACCATTAATAATAATAACTAAAATTGAATTAACTATTTGGTCGTTTGTTCATGCCCTTATATCTCCTTGTTCTTGCGCTAGGTTATGACCTGGGTTTCGCGATAGAAGATGAAGGGGGAAGTGTAGATATATGTTGCATGAAGCCTAATTGTGTTAAGGAGTGCCCAACACTTGGGGAGGAACCACACGCTTGCAAAGGGGAATCCGATGCGAGTAGGGGAACTGCAGTGCTTGTTCTTGCCTCTGAAACATAGCGCTAGTTAGTGCGCGGCGCCTAGGCGCCTAATGCCATGTTTCCGAGATAAATCCAAAATAAACCCGATGTCAGGAGGGGCTCAATTGTGTCTGTGACTAAACTTCTGTAGTTTGAAAATTTAAGTCTTCAGCTTCACCAGTTTGTCGAGTATGCATATTTTGCGTTAGAGTTGAATTTCGCGAGTTCTCTTGTGTGTAAAAGAGACGCATTTTGAAATGTTCCAAGTTATAGAGAGATTTGAGTGTGGTGTAATATGGTCATTTTTTTCTCCCCAACACTTGGGTGCCTCCCCAACACTTGGGGAGGCACCCCACACTTGCAAAGGGGAATCCGATGCGAGTAGGGGAACTGCAGTGCTTGTTCCTGCCTCTGAAACACAGCGCTAGTTAGTGCGCAGCGCTTAGGTGCCTAACGCCATGTTTTCGAGATAAATCCAAAGTAAACCCGATGTTAGGAGGGACACAGGTGTGTCTGTAACTAAACCTCTGTAGTTTGAAAATTTAAGTTTTCAACTTCAGTAGTTTGTTAAGAGTATGCATATTTTGCATTAGAGTTGAATTTCACGAGTTCTCTTGTGTGTAAGAGACGCATTTTGAAATGTTCCAAGTTATAGAGAGATTTGAGTGTGGTGTAATATGTTCATTTTTTTCTCATTTTTTTATAGTCCCCAACACTTGGGTGCCTCCCCAACACTTGGGGAGGCACCCCACACTTGCAAAGGGGAATCCGATGCGAGTAGGGGAACTGCAGTGCTTGTTCCTGCCTCTGAAACACAGCGCTAGTTAGTGCGCAGCGCTTAGGTGCCTAACGCCATGTTTTCGAGATAAATCCAAAGTAAACCCGATGTTAGGAGGGACACAGGTGTGTCTGTAACTAAACCTCTGTAGTTTGAGAATTTAAGTTTTCAACTTCAGTAGTTTGTTAAGAGTATGCATATTTTGCATTAGAGTTGAATTTCACGAGTTCTCTTGTGTGTAAGAGACGCATTTTGAAATGTTTCAAGTTATAGAGAGATTTGAATGTGGTGTAATATGTTCATTTTTTTCTCATTTTTTATAGTCATTTTCTTGGTATAATATGGGAGGAATGACCGATAAAGTGAGATACAAAGTGAAGAAGTTATTTTTTTATAGTCATTTTCTTGGTATAATATGGGAGCAATGACCGATAAAGTGAGATACAAAGTGAAGAAGTTCAAAGGTTCGAACTTTTCTTTCTAGAAAATGCAAATTGAAGATTTATTATATCAAAAAAATTACATTTGCCACTGAAAGGAAGCACCAAGAAGTCAAAATCAATGACTCTAGAAAAATGAGTTCTTGATTAAAGAACATTAGGTTTGATCCATCTTTCACTTCCGCATCCATTGCTTTAAACATTGTGAATGTGAAAACTACGATTGATCTCATGACTGCAGTAATAAGGATGTATGAAAACCCTCAATTTCAAATAAAATTTTTCAGATAAAGAGATTGTTTAATATAAAGGCGTTGAATGGTAGTTCAGTGGCTGAGCACTTGAATAACTTCAACACTATCATTAATTAGTTGTGTTATTTTGGCATTAAGTTCGATGACGAGGTCAAGACACTGTTACACCTATCTTATTTGCCAGACAATTATGTTCTTTGATGACATTATGTGGCTAGTGCTGAATGAAGAGGCAAGCAGTGAACCTTCAAATTTTACTCTATATGTGTAAAATATAGGAAGGAATCTGGATAGAAACACATGCATTTAAGCTCAAAAGAGGAAAGTCCATGTCTAGAAGAGAAAAATGCATATGTGAAGGAAAGATTTAAGCTCAAAAGAGGAAAGTCCATGTCAAGAAGAGAAAAATGCATATGTGAATGTTAAAATTACGGGAAGAAATGTCATTTTAAGAAAACTGTAAAACTTCTAAGAATGGTGGTGGTATAGGTCCAGATAGGAATATCTCTATAAATATCTCCACTAATGAATTCCAGGGTGGCTCTTAT